ACAGGTACTCACAGAACTTACGAAATCTCTGGTATGTGCAAAACAAAATCTCTGGTACGTGCAGAGAAACAGGTACTCACAGAACTTAGGAAATCTCTGGTATGTGCAAAGAGAGCAGAACGTTTAGCAATAGGGTGTAGCGGGGGAGCGGGTACGCATTTTTTTGTGTTTTTGTGTCCTTTCAGCTGCTCCTCCAACTCCTGGGCTCAAGTGATCCTCCTGCTTTGGCTTCCCGAAATGCTAGTATTCCAAGTGTGAGCCACTGTGCCCAGCCTACTTGAAAAATTCTTTTTTTTTTTTTTTTGAGACGGAGTCTCGCTCTGGCGCCCAGGCTGGAGTGCAGTAGCCGGATCTCAGCTCACTGCAAGCTCCGCCTCCTGGGTTTATGCCATTCTCCTGCCTCAGCCTCCGGAGTAGCTGGGACTGCAGGCGCCCGCCATCTCGCCCGGATAGTTTTTTGTATTTTTTAGTAGAGACGGAGTTTCACCGTGTTAGCCAGGATGGTCTCGATCTCCTAACCTCGTGATCCTCCCGTCTCGGCGAGGGATTACAGGCTTGAGCCACCGTGCCCAGCCGAAAAATTCTTAATAGCCAGTTTTAAAGGTAATGCTTGAAGCTTACATTTCCTGTGACTTTTTTTAAACACAGGGTCTCACTGTCACCCAGGCTGGAGCAATGGCACAGAATTACTCACTGCAGCCTCAAACTCCTGGGCTCAAGGGATCCTCCCGCCTCAGCCTCCCTGAGTAGCTGGAACTGTAGGTGTGTGCCACCGTGCCTGGCTAAAGACAGGATCTCCCTATGTTGCCCAGGCTTGTCTCAAACTCCTGAGCTCAAGCCATTCTCCCGCCTTAGCCTCCCAAAGTGCTGGGATTATAGGCGTGAGCCACCGCTCCTGGCCTGCTTATTTATATGCTTTTGTAATGGCATGATAGCTTCTTTCATATATGTAGGAGAAAATTTTAATCGTTTTCCAGATTGAACTTGTGATTCTTGTGGTCACTCTAATTCATAGGTTTATTTTTTTGGTTTCTGAGTGCTCACTGTACCCAGAAATTGTTCCTTTTTTTAATATTGTGAAACTTCACTAGCCTAAATTTATTTGTTTTCAGTTATTTTTTCTCCTTTATCAGTGATCTTTGTTATTGTGGATGAACACTTTTTTTTAAGAGATGAGGTCTCACAGTGTCGCCCAGACTATAGTGCAGTGGCTGTTTACAGGTGCGATCATAGTGCACTACAGCCCTGAACTCCTGGGCTCATACAGTCCTCCTGCCACAGTCTCCTGAATAGCAGAGACTACAGGCATATTGGTGAACAATTTTCTTTTTGTGTCAAACAATTGTATTGATATTTTAATGGACTATGTACAGAAGAGACACCCTTATAGTTCTTAGTACTCACCAACTTCTTAAAAGCATTCCCACTGAGGATTTTGAGTAAGAAAATTATGTACTCATTACCATACTTCAGAATGTGATTCTGCTGGAGGGTACTACCTGGAGAGGAATAACCAAAGAGCTGTGCATATCAAAAGTAGGAAGAGGTCCTCTCAGAGTGAAGGTTGACTGCATGCTAGCTGTGAATCCATAGTGTAATCACTACAGTTGTAAAATAGTTAATCAAACAATTGTTCTCCTGGGATGGCTAAATAAACATAAAACCATGCTGTGCAGTAATGTAGGAAATCTCTGTTATTAGAATACCATGGCTAGTTTTGATCCAAAAATAAATTAAGTTATGGAAGGAATGTGAGAAAAGGGTAAGTAATGATGCCATGGACCACTTTGTTCTGCTTAGTGTCATAAGACTGAAGATCTGTGTACCTCTGCCTCCTTGTCAGTAGTCTACTTTGTTGATGTTGAAATTCTGAGAAGGCAATAGTCTGACTTCACTCTTTATCACTTCACGTCATTTATTAATGTGGGAAAGACTTCCACATTGTACAGCACCTTGGAGAGAGGACACCTTAACAAAAGATCAATAATTTTATTATTTATTTATTTATTTATTTATTTATTTATTTATTTATTTGAGATGGAGTCTAGCTCTGTTGCCAGGCTGGATTGCAGTGGTGCAATCTGGTTCACTGCATCCTCCGCCTCTCTGGTTCAAGCAGTTCTCTTGCCTCAGCTTCCCAAGTAACTGGGATTACAGGCACATGCCGCCATGCCCAGCTAATTTTGGTATTTTAAGTAGAGATGGAGTTTCCCCATATTGGCCAGGATGGTCTCAATCTCCTGACCTCGTGATCCACCCACCTCGTCCTCCCAAAGTGCTGGGATTACAGGAGTAAGCCACTGTGCCCAGCCAAGATCAATACTTTTAAACTGGATTCCAAATGGTGAGGTGCCCTAGGAACTGTAGAGATCAAGTTCTTAAAATATTTTCCATTAAAAAGAATCAGGGAAGCCGGGTGCGGTGGCTCACACCTGCAATCCCAGCACTTTGGGAGGCCAAGGCAGGAGGATCCCTTGAGCAAAGGAGTTCGAGGCTAGCCTGGGCAACATGGTGAAACCCCATCTCTACCAAAAATACAAAAAAAATAGCGGGTCATAGTGGTGTGCACCTGTGGTTCAGCTGTGTGGGAGGAACACTTGAGCTGGGGAGGCAGAGGCTACAGTGAGCCACCACTACACTCCAGCCTGGGCAACAAAGTGAGACCCTGTCTCAATAAAAGAAAAAGAAAACAAGAATTAGGGATGCTTGAAGAAACGGCTGATTCCAAATCTGGTGCAAAAAAATGCACAAGGTAAGCCTGGAACATCTTTTCATGCCATATAGGAAGGAAGCTCTCAATGACTCATAAGGTTAAGTCATAAGGACTGAAGAGCCCACCTGAAAACTCCCACTGGCAAAACATGAATCAATTTGAGAATCAATAAGGATGATCACTGTATTGGATTGAAACACACCTAATATGTTTAATCCGTGAGTTCATAATGATACTGAAAAAAAATTCACTATTTGAATGTGGTGAAAGAATGAATATCATTTTTTATTTATTATTATTAATATATTTAAGGGATACAAGTGTAGACTTCTTTTTTGTTGTGTTTTTTTTTTTTTTTTTGAAACAGAGTCTTGCTCTGTTGCACAGGCTGGAGTGCGGTGGCACAATCTCGGCTCACTGCAACTCAAGCAACCCTCCCACCTCAACCTGCTGAGTAGCGGGGACCACAGGCCTGCACCATTATGCCAGGCTAATTTTTTTGTAGTTTTTGTAGAGACAGGGTTTTGCCATGTTGCCCAGCCTGGTCTCAAACTCCTGGGCTCAAGCAATCCGTCCACCTCAGCCTCCCAAAGTGCTGGGACTACAGGCATGAGCTGCTGCTGCCAGCCACGTGCATATACTGTATAGTTGTGAGGTATGGGCTTTTAGTGTACTGCATCATTATTTTGAAACTTATGATAAAAGTCTTATAGCTGGCTAGGCATGGCTCACACCTGTAATCCCAGCACTTTGGCAGGCTGAGGTGGGATAATGACTTGAGCACAGGAGTTCAAGACCGGCCTGGGCGACATGGTGAGACCCTGTCTTTACTAAAAACTTAAAAGTTAACTGGGTTGTGGTAGTGTACACCTGTAGTCCCAGATACTCAGGAAGCTGAGGTGGGAGGATCACTTGAGCCCAGGAGGTCGAGGCTGCGGTGAGCTGTGATTGAGCCATTGTGCTCTATCCTGGGCAACAGATCAATACCCTGTCTCAGAAAGAAAACAAACAAACAAAAAGTATTCCTGCTAATGAATGAAAGAAGTAATAACAGAATCTAAATGTTACTATTTTGGGAGGTGGCCTTCCAAAATGGTGGAGTAAGGAACTCAGGGTGTATGTATAGCTGTAACAATATTGGATGAGTTGATAAGTGTTGAATCTGGGTGATAGGTATGTAGGGATTTATTCCTTCCATCTACTTTTTTTGGGGTAACAATTAAGATATAATTCACATGCCAATGTGAATTATTCAATGTTTATTAAATAACTAGCTATATTACCTAAAGCAGGTTAAAGAGGAAAAAGCAGCAGAAATAATTCCTTCTGGAGAAGGTGGGACAAAAGCTGTATTATGGTCATGCTTATAAACATGAAGATTTCTCAATTGAGTGTAACTTAGTTTCTTCTAAATTCTGCTTTTCACTGTTATCTAAAGTCAAGATGGTTGATAGATATAGGTTAATGAGTGGAACATGGCTTATGTGAAACTTCATATTTCTAGAAATATCATCTAGCGTTAACCCTGCCTCCTAAGATATATGCTATAAAATAATAAAAGTAGATGTCTGGTAAAGGTAGGGAAAAGGGTTTATGGGGTTATAACTATCAGCTAAAGTGAGGATTTTTTAATGCATGGATTACAGCTAGGATCTTCCTTTAGCCCCAGTAACTTTAAGGTGGTTAAGCCAAGGAGGGCTATAGCTCAGCATTACCACAGCTTGTTACACAGAGATATAAATGTGCTTGGTAAACATATTCTTTCAGGTTGAAACTAGATGATTATGAAGCATAGTATCTTGCTAGTAAACCTTTGCTCTCATTGGTGGTGGCGTTCCTCCTTTCCCCAATTTTGCCCTTGCACGGAATTCAGTTATTCATTTGTTCTTTGGGCTTTCTGTGTGCTTTGATCATTTCCTCCCATCTCGCTCCCTTCCAGCTTCCATTTATCCTTCTAGGCCAGGTCCCATTTTTCTAAAAGCCCTTTCCTAATAATCCCCTCCCTAATGTCTTTTGTACTTATTTTAATATTGTAGAGGAAGAGAGGGGGAACCTGGTTATTGCGTTATTCAAGTGAGCCTTCAGTTAGTTGAAGATTATATATTTCAAGTGTCACTAGTTGTAAATGTCAAAACATCTATTGACCCCCCCAAAAAAAAAAGTCCTATTACTCTGGGCCCACTTGGAACAATGCCTGTTTGAATCAAGTCCTTCCTCCCCTCAATAAACATTGTGATTAATGCAAAATACCTAACTTCACTGAATTTTTTTTCCCTTCACTTTTTAGGATTATGGCTGCTGTTCCTCAGAATAATCTACAGGAGCAACTAGAACGTCATTCAGCCAGAACACTTAATAATAAATTAAGTCTTTCAAAACCAAAATTTTCGTAAGTGTTTTTATTGGTTTGCTGTCACATAGGCACATTGTACGCATGAGATACCTTCTCTTTAAACTCCGTCATTGTACAGATGAGGAAATGAAGCTGAGAGATTCATTGATCTTCCCACTTTGTCAATTAATGGTAGAGTATGTTTTAGCAGCACCAGGTGAGATTGTGTCTCACCTTTGCATGGTTCCTGGCACATAATATTTGCTCAATAAAGATTTGTTGAGTAAATGAATAATCTTGTAAATTTGGGCAGATAAGTGTTTTTTAAGTTTTGTGGGGTTTTTTGTTTTTGTTTTTGTTTTGTTTTGATTTTTGAGGCAGAGTCTTGCTCTGTGCCCAGGCTGGAGTGCAGTGGCGTGATCTCGACTCACTGCAAGCTCTGCCTCCTGGGTGCATGCCATTCTCCTGCCTCAGCCTCCCAAGTAGCTGGGACTACAGGTGCCCGCCACCACACCCAGCTAATTTTTTTTGTACTTTTTAGTAGAGACGGTTTCACTGTGTTAGCCAGGATGATCTCGATCTCCTGACCTCGTGATCTGCCTGCCTCGGCCTCCCAAAGTGCTGGGATTACATGCATGAGCCACCATGCTTGGCCTTTTTTTTTTACTTTTTTGAGACGAAATTTCACTCTTGTTGCCCAGGCTGGAGTGCAATGGCGTAATCTTGGCTCACCACAACCTCTGCCTTCCAGGTGCAAGCGATTCTTCTGTTTCAGCCTCCCCAGTAACTGGGATTACAGGCATGCGCCACCATGCCCGGCTAATTTCGTATTTTTAGTAGAAATGGGGTTTCTCCATGTTGGGCAGGCTGGTCTCGAACTCCTGACCTCAAGTGATCCGCCCTCCTTGGCCTCCTAAAGTGCTGGGATTACAGGCATGAGCCACCACGCCTGGCCAAGTATTTTAATATAATTTTACATCCTTTCGAACAACAGTTTATAAGGAAACTACAGCTCTCCAGTTCTGCCTCTCCTCTGAGCTATCCTCCAGACTCCTAATGATATCTGATAATAATTTATATTATAAGTGATGCTTTTACCAGGTTGTAGACTCTGTCTGGGGTGCCTGGCTTTGAAGTCACCACTGACTTTCAGATCATTAAATCCAGCAGACAGCCATGATTCCCGCCTCTTTTACTTATCCTGCAGATTTTAACAGTTAGCAGTTTTTAACTCTTTCCCCTTAAAATTCTTATCAGAGTAGCAAAAAGTAGCCACATTTGAATCTCCTCCCTTTTTCTTTTTCTTTCTCTCTCTTTTTTTTTTTTTTTTTTTGATACAGTCTTGCTCTGTCACCCAGGCTGGAATGCAGTGGCACAGTCTTGGCTCACTGCAACCTCCACCTCCTGGGTTCAAGCGATTCTCCTGCCTCAGCCTCCTGAGTAGCTAGGGCTTTAGGCATACACCACTATGCCCGGCTAACTTTTTGTATTTTTATTAGAGATGGGGTTTCACCATGTTGGCCAGGCTGGTCTCGAACTCCTGACCTCAAGCAATCCACCTGCCTCAGCCTCCCAAAGTGCTGGGATTACAGGCATGAGCCACTGCGCCCGACCTCTTCCCTTTTTCATTTATGCTGTCACCCCGCTCTGGAAATGCTATTGACTAAGGACTACTAGCCTGAGAAATAAAGTAGTGGGAATGGACTCTCAAAGCCAAATATAATTAGCCTCTGAATGGGAAGGACCAGAGAACAAATAGAATTTAAGTTACCTGATAAATTTAAAATCAAGAGAGAGATGGATTCTTTGCTCAGTTGGAGTTGGGATACAATTAATGTAACCTGTGTGAATTAGTTTTAAAAATTACAGTTTTGTTTTGTAGAGTTGGGGGGGGGGTTTGTTAATATGGATCTATCTAATCCAGTTTTTCCATTATTTTTCAGAGGTTTCACTTTTAAAAAGAAAACATCTTCAGATAACAATGTATCTGTAACTAATGTGTCAGTAGCAAAAACACCTGTATTAAGAAATAAAGATGTTAATGTTACCGAAAATAAAGATGTTAATGTTACCGAAGACTTTTCCTTCAGTGAACCTCCACCTGACACCACAAATCAGCAGAGGGTCAAGGACTTCTTTAAAAATGCTCCAGCAGGACAGCAAACACAGAGAGTTGGCTCAAAACCATTATTGCCAGATTTCTTGCAGACTCCGAAGGAAGTTTTATGCACTACCCAAAACACACCAACTGTAAAGACATCCCAGAATACTGCTCTCAAGAAATTAGAATTTAGTTCTTCACCAGATTCTTTCAGAACCATCAATGATTGGGATGATATGGATGACTTTGATACTTCTGGGACTTCAAAAGCATTTGTTACACCACCCCAAAGTCACTTTGTAAGAGTAAGCACTGCTCAGAAATCAAAAAAGGCTAAGAGAAACTTTTTTAAAGCACAGCTTTATACAACAAACACAGTAAAGGCTGATTTGCCTCCATCCTTCTCTGAAAGCGAGCAAATAGATTTGACTAAGGAACAGAAGGATGACTCAGAATGGTTAAGCAGCGATGTGATTTGCATTGATGATGGCCCCATTGGTGAAGTGCATATAAATGAAGATGCTCAGGAAAGTGACTCTTTGAAAACTCATTTGGAAGATGAAAGAGGTAACAATTATTTTATCTTCATTTTAGTATGTTCATTGTACTTTTTTATTCAAAGCTAGCCATTAGGAATAGTCATGAATATACAGAGTTTTTGTCCTTAAGGCTGTTAGGGTCTTTAGTGGTGCTTTTTGAATAATCTGTTGGCCACATATCTAAGGCAGGACATACTGATGAAATGGAAGGTTTTAGTCTGCTAATGGAATTTCCAGGATAGCTCTGTGATTTTATACATGAAGAAAATGCAGTAGTTTCCCCTTGTCCACAGCTTTGCATTCTGAGGTTTCAGTTACCCGCAGCCAGCCGCGGTCTGAAAATACTGCGTATCTTCTCTTGCGCTTTGGAACCATTGTTAAGAAAACACAAGCCCTGCAATACCGCGACAGTCAATCTGATAACTGAGACCACTACTAAGTGATTAACAGCAACTCAGGTGGACAGATCAGGCCGGGGCAAGATTTTATCACACTACTCAAAACAGCTTGAAACTGAAACTTTATGAATTAATTTATTTCTGGGATTTTCCATTTACATCACAATGCCTACTTTATTCACCTCTCTTCATCTCATCATGTAGGCATTTTTTATCATCTTATAGCTTTACAAGAGGAAGGGTGAGTACAGTACAGTAAGATATGTTGAGCGAGAGACCATAGTCACGTAATTTTTATTGCAGAATATTGTTATAATTGTGCTATTTCATTGTTCATCTTTTTGCTGTGCTTAATTCATAAATTAAACTCTATCATAGGTATGGATGTATGGGAAAACACACCGTACTTATAGGGTTTGATACTGTCCGAGATTTCAGGCATCCACTGGGGTCTTGTCACATATTTCCCGAGGAAAAGGGGGGTGCTGTTGTAAGATCCATGGAGGTTAAATGGTGGTCAGTGGTAAATTGGAAAATGAAACTAAGCCTTTCTACTGTAATTCCTTTATGGCTTGTTGCCACCTAATATTGATGAATAATGTACACTAATTGTACTATTAAAGTATTATAAATTACATTCAAAGTTTTTCCTGGCTAGATCTTGTAATTATTAAGTGTCCAAAATTGAGTAATTGAGATTACCTACATGTGGAAGTAACCACCTTATGAAGCAGTTGCAAATATGAGAGTAAAATTTTTAAACACCTGAATCCCATTAAGGTTACTCTAGAGTGAGAGAGCACTGAAAAGTGATTGATGATAAGCAAAACTATAGTCTCATCAATGATGCTTCTGTTTCTGAAGGGAAAATTTGTTAAAAGATAGAGAGCAACAATTTGGGTTGTGTTTTCCCCCATTGTCCAAAAGAGAGACTTAAATAACTAGGAAACTTTGTGGTAAAGGTGGTTTGTACAAGCAGCCATGTTTATGTTATTATCAGACTTATCTGTTACACTTTACCCTTATTTAAATATGAGTGAAAAGCTGAAAACTAGAAACGTTGATACCAAATATGTGTCTCCTAATTAACCAGAGACAGACATGAAAATCCCTAAGCAAGTCTTTGGCCTCAGTCGAGCATTCACTAGACTTAATCCAGTTGACTCAATAATAATCATTTATGAATAAATAAGCCAGCATTAGTGTGTGAAGGGAGAGGATCCATACAAAGTGGTGTGATTGTTTGTGACTTGCCAGAAGCACTCATTCTTTTTTTTTTTTTTTTAATACTTTAAGTTCTAGGGTACATGTGCACAACGTGCAGGTTTGTTACATATGTATACATGTGCCATGTTGGTGTGCTGCACCCCTTAACTCGTCATTTACATTAGGTATATCTCCTAGTGCTATCCCTCCCTCCTACCCCCTCCCCACAATAGGACCCGGTGTGTGATGCTCCCCTTCCGGTGTCCAAGTGATCTCATTGTTCAGTTCCCACGTATGAGTGAGAACATGGGGTTTGGTTTTCTGTTCTTGCGACAGTTTGCTGAGAATGATGGTTTCCAGCTGCATCCATGTCCCTACAAAGGACACGAACTCATCCTTTTTTATGGCTGCATAGTATTCCAAGGTGTGTATGTGCCACATTTTCTTAATCCAGTCTGTCACTGATGGACATTTGGGTTGATTCCAAGTCTTTGCTATTGTGAATAGTGCCGCAATAAACATACGTGTGCATGTGTCTTTATAGCAGCATGATTTATAATCCTTTGGGTATATCCCCAGTAATGGGATGGTTGGGTCAAATGGTATTTCTAGTTCTAGATCCTTGAGGAACCACCACACTGTTTTCCACAATGGTTGAACTAGTTTACAGTCCCACCAACAGTGTAAAAGTGTTCCTATTTCTCCACATCCTCTCCAGCACCTGTTGTTTCCTGGTTTTTTAATGATTACCATTCTAACTGGGTGTGAGATGGTACCTCATTGTGGTTTTGATTTGCATTTCTCTGATGGCGAGTGATGATGAGCATTTTTTCATGTGTCTGTTGGCTGCATAAATGTCTTCTTTTGAGAAGTGTCTGTTCATATCCTTTGCCCACTTTTTGATGGGGTTGTTTTTTTCTTGTAAATTTGTTTGAATTCTTTGTAGGTTCTGGATATTAGCCCTTTGTCAAATGAGTAGATTGCAAAAATTTTCTCCCATTCTGTAGGTTGCCTGTTCACTTTTGCTGGAAGCACTCATTCTTACGCACTCATGCCCTGTTCTTTCTGCCTCATTAGTGGTTAACAAATCTACGTTTATCAACTGTTTTACTGTAGATAATAGCGAAAAGAAGAATTTGGAAGAAGCTGAATTACATTCAACTGAGAAAGTTCCATGTATTGAATTTGATGATGATGATTATGATATAGATTTTGTTCCACCTTCTCCAGAAGAAATTTCTGCTTCTTATTCCTCTTCAAAATGCCCTAGGTAAACTATCTAAATAATTAGCATTATTATTTGTTTCTGAGATACTTTAAATAGTTTAATTTAGTTATATAATATCATTTCTATATAAAAGTATTTTGTGCTTTGTGTAATTATTTTACATTCAAGTGAAAGTCTCAAAAAAAAAACCCTATTTATACATTTAATTGGTTGCATTCTAAAGATGAAGTCCCATTATGATTAATTACATGAACCTTCCAAACAATTTTATGTAGTTGATTTTTTTTTTTAATTTTTTTGAGACAATCTCGCTCTGTCGCCCAGGCTGGAGTGAAGTGGTGTGATCTCGTCTCACTGCAGCCTCAACCTCCCAGGTTCAAGTGATTCTTGTGCCTCAGCCTCCCAAGTAGCTGGAGCTACAGACACACGCCACCATGCCTGGCTAATTTTTTGTATTTTCAGTAAAGACGAGGTTTTGCCATGTTGCCTAGGCTGGTCTTGAACCTCTGAGCTCAGGCAATCCTCCCGCATTGACCTCCCAAAGTGCTAGGATTACAGACATAAGCCACCTTGCCTGGCCTTATATAGTTGATTTTGACATAAGGAATATATTTCTGAAAATATATTTCCAAACCTGACCTGAAATGACACAAAGCTAACCCATTATATGGGAAGTGAGGTGGGACATTAGTACTTTTTAAAAAAATCCTACAGGATAGAATTGGCCATTGTATTTGTTATTCAATTTTAGCAAATTGGTGACATGATTATTGTTAATTGGTAGTATTATGAGAAAAATAGATACTCCATATGACTCATCAATAGCTTAAATTGCTAAGTGTCAATGTTACCTTCATCCTCATCCCAGTCTCACTCTCAGACCAGTTGAGTGGTAGAGTGTAATATATACTAAACTGAGCAAAAGTTTGTATGGGGTCTCAATTCTAAACCAGCATTCTCATTTACTAGGTGGAACAGCTGAGGCCCAGGGAGGAGCAAGGAATTGCCCAGGATGATAAAATGAATGAGAGATGAACTCAGATCCAGTGTAGTGCTTTCCCGGTGTCATACTGATTCCTTGTTGAATGCCTGGCTTTTTTCTTTACTTATTAAAAATATGTATTACACAAATAATATAATCATTTTAACAAGGATTCTAAATAAGAAAGAAGGAGCACTGCTGGGTGCGGTGGTGTGGTAGTGGCCTGTAGTCCCAGCTACTCAGGAGGCTGAGGGAGGAGGATCCCTTAAGCCGAGGAGTTCAAGGCTGTAGCATGCTGTGATTACGCCTATGAATAACCATTGCACCCCAGCCTGGGCAACATAGCAAGACCCTCATCTCTAAAAAATTAAGGGGAGAGAGAGAGAGAAGGAATACTAGTAGTCCCACAATTCTGACTATTTTCTTTATCCATCTTCAGTTTTGATCCTTTTCTTTTTTTTTTTTTTTTTGAGACGGAGTCTCGCTCTGTCGCCCAGGCTAGAGTGCAGTGGCATGATCTCCACTCACTGCAAGCTCACCTCCCGGGTTCATGCTATTCTCCTGCCTCAGCCTCCTGAGTAGCTGGGACTACAGGCGCCCGCCACCACGCCCAGCTAATTTTTATGTATTTTTAGTAGAGACGGGTTTTCACCGTGTTAGCTAGGATGGTCTTAATCTCCTGACCTCATGATCCGCCCACTTCGGCCTCCCAAAGTGCCGGGATTACAGGCGTGAGCCACCACGCCCAGCCAGTTTTGATCGTTTTCTACATGTGTGTTTGATTTCTGCATTGTTGTAATCAACATGTAATTATAATTTTATATTCTGCTTTATTTCTCTTAGCATTATTTCTAAATTATTTTCCAATTGCTAATATTTAATTCCTTTTAGTGGCTACATAATTTATCAAATTGTCATACCATAAATAAATTTACCTAGAGTCTTAACAGTTAAAAAAGCTTATTTTGCAAAGTATTTCCAAGGTAGACTCTCTTTGTACATTTCCCATTGTAACTTAGTATACATATGTGTATATATTATAAAACTGAAATAGAATTTTCACAATATTTTTTGTGCAGTGCACAGCTTAAATTCTGTGCTACACTTTATTTCAGTTTTAAAAAATACTAGTTGTATCCTCTGAATTTCAGAAGTCAAGTGGTCAGACAGTATATAACAGAAAAGAGAGACCTGTTTTTCAATCTCCTCTTTTCCAAAACCTCTGTAGCTGGCCCTCAAGATTCTGCATCTTCTGGCCACAATTTACCTTTTTCAGCTTTATCTCCACTTATGCCCTTGCAATAATCCAATGGTCTTAATGAGTCAAACCAACAATCTAGAAAGCATTATCATTTTCTTTAATTATAATGTTATTGTTTAAAAACTAATATAAAAAAGTTACACTGTTTTGATTTAGTTAGAAAGTTGCCTTCCAAAATTCTGCTTTAGGAAAATATGGTTGATTCCCAGATGTGAAGCAAATAGAATTGTCCTTTTTAAAATCTTTCTTTCATAGTCTGGCACTTTCCCCATACTTGTCATTCAAAGTTTGCTTAAATCTTATCTCCTTGGGAAAGCCTTCTCAAGTTCCAAAAAATGTTATTTTTCTTTGGATTTCCACTGTATCCTCTCTTTTTTTTTTTTTTTTTTTTTTTTGCCAGGAAATATTTTATTGACAACCAGGGACACAGCCATAAAAGAAGGAAGCACACAGGACTGCAAACTAACACCCAATAGCCAGCAAGGGCCCTCTGGGCCAGGAATACTGAATCCTGGGGTCCTCACAGTCTCCCACCAGTAGATGTACAATACTGGGCATCCAGGGGAGGGGGCAGTGGCTCTGGTGTCCCAGAGAGTGAGAGGATATATGATGCCTCATTATGAGCGACACGGTACGGAGGTAAAATGGAGGGTCCATCACTGCCTAAGACCTCCTCCTCTCAGAGCCAACACCAGGTGAAGAACTGAACCACCTAAAATCTTGTAATCAGCTGCTGTTTTCTCATCATTCATCTGTTTGCCACTGTAGATGAGCCTCTGCTGTCGTGGGGGGATTCCCTCTTTCTCCTCCACACGCTCCTTGATCCGCTCCACCTTGTCTGTAGGTTCAATGTCAATCTCAGTCTCCTTTCCGGTCAGCATCTGCCTCAGTCAAGGAAGTGAGGCTGGTCCAGGCTCAGAAAGGCAGATGCTGACTGAACACACTCCCCGCTTTGGTTCCTTCACTTTAATTAGTATCTTCTTTCCAGTTTGGGGCTGCACACGGATAAATTGCTACTCCTACCGCTCCGGTCGCCGCTGCCGCTCTCCAGCACTCTGCCTGCTGTATCCTCTCTTTAACACTCATTCAGTACTAATTTATTTTGTTATTTGTAAAGTATTTTTTCTGTCTAATCAGACTGACCAGGTTTGTATGTTAATATGTTTTTGTATAATCTGTGTGGTGAGGTAATTATATATACAGACACACACAAACACATATACATATATTTGCATAATAAGAGAAGTCCAGAAAAAGTGCTTTGAAATCTCAGAAAAAAGAGACATTAATGATCATTTGCTGGAGAAGTAACGCTTGGGCTGGGGCTAGAAGAACAGGTGTGATTTGGGTAAAAAGAGATTGGAATGGCAGGTTTTCCAAATTGAGGGGATCAGTAGCAAAATCCCCAAAACAGGCAATGCAGGGCTTATATGAAGAATGTAAGTGGTACAGTATGATTGAAGCCTTGGGTTACTGAAAGGACATAATTGGAGATAAAGTTGAAAAGGGCTCTTGGGACCAGAGGAGGGACAACTTTGAGGACCAGCTAAAGAAGTTTTATAACTGAGGAAATTTTAAAAACTACTTTTCTTTTCTGTTATATATTGTCTGATCAGTTGTAGAAAAAATATTAAGGGTTTTGAAATTATACATTTATTAGGTCTAGCCTGTAGTATGATTGGCTTAACATTTTTTTATTTGCAGTATGTTAAAGGACCTTGACACCTCTGACAGAAAAGAGGATGTTCTTAGCACATCAAAAGATCTTTTGTCAAAACCTGAGAAAATGAGTACACAGGAGCCGAATCCAGAAACCAGCACAGACTGTGACGGTACAAACAATATTTTAGACATATCATGTATTTCAACTACTTACTTTCGAAAACAACGTAACACAAAGATTGTGTTTTCAACCTGTGGCTGTATGTTATAAAATTTCAGATTTGTAGTCTCTTCTAATGTTATAACCCTGTTCACTGGATAGCCAGCATTTGCCTGAAGAACTCATGAATTCATGCTCTCACAAGGGCGTTCATTCCATATTTTGAAAACGCTACGTGTTAGAAATCATCTCTCATACTCAACTTTAAATTCTAGGAGGTTTTTACATATTTATTTATTTATTTATTTAATGTTCCACAAATGAGAACTTCCACAAAATCATGTGTTTCAGAAACATAGACCACAGAGCGTAATCTCATCATAATAGAGTTTTTCCCCACCTTGGCTAAATATTGTTAGGTCTTTTAACTCTCCTTGCTAGAAATTGCTTTCTTGACCTTTTATCCTCCAGTTCTCCCTTGTATATACTCTGAGTCTGAGTCTGGGTCTGGGTCTTGATGTTCATTTAAAACTAAATACTTGTTTGCTTGTTTGTTTTGTTTCTAGTTCATTTTTTGTTTTTTATTAAATATCTAATGTAAATAATCAGATAGCAGTGCAAGTCTTTGACAGACGACACTCCCCCTTCCCACCCTTGGTGTCTGCTTCTCAGAGGCGCCTTCAGTCTGAAAATTTACATCCTCTTGTAGACATTTTTCTGGCATTATTTCTTTTTACTTTCTTTTTCTCTTTTTCACTCTTCCTGGAACTTCTATGATTTGCATGTTAGACTTCCACTAATTATCTTTTCTATTTTTCATCTCTTGATTTTCTGCTTTTTAGGATATTTCCTCAATTTTATCGTTAACTCTTCTATGGAATTTTTTAAGTTCTATCAAGGCAATTTCCGAGAGCTCTTTTTTGTTCTCTGAATATTTCTGTCATGCATTCGAGTCTGAGGGCTGCTGGGCTTTTTTAACGATGTCTGCATGCATGTGCAGGTCATGTGTGTGGTGTTCTCTGTTGTTTTTGTTTCCTCCAGTTTTTTTGTTGTTTATTTTGGACTCAATTTATTTTAGAGATATTCATGAAATAACTGATATGCTGGGCACTCTTATAAAGTGCCTTACAATATTAACTAATTCACTCATCACAATAAACTACGTCAAACTTTAAGGTAATTTCTTTTTTCTTTTTTTTTTTTTTCTGAGACAGAGTCTCGCTCTATCACCCAGGCTGGAGTGCAGTGGCAGGATCTTGGCTCACTGCAACCTCCGCCTTCCGGGATCAAGCAATTCTCCTGCCTCAGCCTCCCGATTAGCTGAGATTACAGATGTGTGCCATCACACCTGGCTAATTTTTTGTATTTTTAATAGAGATATGGGTTCACCATGTTAGCCAGGATGGTCTCGATCTCCTGACCTCGTAATCCGCCTACCTTGGCCTCCCAAAGTGCTGGGATTGCAGGCGTGAGCCATGGCACCCGGCCCACTTTAAGGTAGTTTCTGTTATCCCCATTTAACAGATAATGAAACTAAGGTACAGGAGCATTAAATAATTACACACCGTCATAGAATTAGCCGCAGAGCTAGGATCTGAACACAGCAGTCTTGAGGCTTTGAGTTTTCATTGATAACAACTGCATTATACTGTCTCTATATCATTAAGTTTCACTAATAAAATGGTTAGCCAGAACAGGGGCAAGGACAGAGTTCTCCAGCATATCAGTAGAGGCTTCCCTCTTGGCTTACATCAGTCCATTCATTACCACTTCTTGTTCAGCTAGTTACATACCTGTCTTCAGACCACATTTCCATTCTTTATCCATGGAGACACAAAAGACTTGGCCATGTGACTCCAAAAAGTTTGAAGTGTGAGGCAGGAAGAAGGAATGGGTGGGACATTGACTCTAGAGTGCTACAGACCTGTGATAGAAACCTGTCTCCTCCTACTCTTGGCTGCGTGACTATGGCAAATAGTTAAACTTCTCTGGACTTCAGTTTTTTTCTTCTATAAAATGAGGAGAATGATATCTACCTTGCTGGGTAGTTGTCAGGATTCAAGGTAAAGTGCCTAGTACACTGCAGGCCTTTCATAAATGATAGCTATTGTTATCTGCCAGTCTAGTAATCCTTATAAAGAAGGAAATACGTTAAGATGGGTGGTTTGTTTTTATGAACTCTTTCTGACTCTATAATTGTTTCCTCCCCCTTAGAGCTCACAAAGCAGCTATTTGATAACAGACTCTAGAATTTTGCTTTGAATTTACATCAAATCACCAGCCTGTAGTTTTTGTCAATCACTTTCAAATTTTTTGAAAATTAGAACAATGTTTGTCTGTCCTCACTTTCCATTATTTCTCTTATTCACTAGATGCCTCACACACGTGTCAGTGACAGGGGCTCTGAGATCCTGTTTGCAGGTTTCCTTTGTACTCTGAGGTATAATCTGTCTAGACAAGGAGTCTTGAGCTAGTTTCTGATAGCTAGGTACTCTCTTTTATCTCCCTCTGAGCCTGTCTTGGCTTTCAGTTCCATCAGACCATTGTGTATTCTCTTTCCAATCAGATGCTTGTTTTTCTTGCAGAGAAAACAGAAGTAACATAGGAATTCAGCAATTCCAGTTTTACATCTCATACCTCACATTTCTCTCAGTCACCAGCAGAAGTCCAAATTTCCCAGGCCATTCTTGTGCAGATGCCCTTCCCCACCCTGCCATCTTCACTCCCTGTTCTGTCCTCACTTCCTGTCCTTCCTGGCTTGTAAACCATTTAACTGACTGCTCCATCAACAACTTCCCGGTAGCCTCATCGTCTTCTCTGATCATTTTCTTCCCCTTCTTTCTCTAATCATTTTCTGAGAATATGCACTGTTTCCCCTGCAGCCCACCTAAACTGTTTTTTTCTCCTGCAGACTTTAGGCCTGAGAGGTGGCACAGGCATCTGTTGTCCTTGCTTCCTGTTGCCATTTTTTTTTTCTTTTCTTCATTTTTTTGTTTTCTTGCTCTGTCACCCAGGCTGGAGTGCACTGGTGCAATCTCTGTCCACTGCAACCTCTGCCTCCCAGGTTCAAGTGATTCTCCTGCCTTAGCCTCCTGAATAGCTGGGACTACAGGCGTGCGCCATCATGCCCAACTTTTTTGTATTTTTATTAGAGACAGGATTTCGCCACGTTGGCCAGGCTGGTGTCGAACTCCTGACCTCAGGTGATCCTCCAGCCTTAGCCTCCCCAAGTGCTGGGATTACAGGCGTGAGCCACCATGCCCAGCCACAGTTGAGATTTTAGATGAAGGAAAGGGCCGGCACGGTGGCTCACACCTATAATCCCAGCACTTTGGGAGGCGAGCTGGGTGGATCATTTGAGGTCAGGAGTTCGAGACCAGCCTGGCCAACGTGGCAAAACCCCATGCTTAATAAAAATACAAAAAAGCCGAGCGTGGTAGCGTGTGCTTGTAGTCCCAGGCACTCAGGAGGCTGAGGCAGGAGAATCGCTTGAACCTGGGAGATGGAGGTTGCAGTGAGCTGACATTGCACCACTGCACTCCAGCCTGGAAGACAGAGCGAGAATCTGTGTCAAAAAATAAAATAAAATAAAACCTCAACTGCTTTGAAATTCTATTTATTAGTTATGGCTTAATTTTTAAAATGGGAGTGGGCTGGCAGGATGCAGTTGTTCCAACATCGTATCAGGAGTTGCTCTCTCTCTCACTTGCCTTCTCTCTCCTCTCTTCTGTCCCATCTCTCCGGGTCAAGCCTCCATTTCTTTCTATCTGCTTTCTACTTTTCCTTTGTATCAATCTTATTTGAAATCTGTCTTTCTTTATAAGGTGACAGAAATGGCCACCAGAATCATATTAAACTTGGAAAAAGAGAGGTACTTTTTCCCAGTCAGTCCGAATTATTTCCAGAGTTAATTTTCACTGGGCTGCCTTATGTCAGATGCCTAATGAGGGAGTGGGAAGGGTAGGTCTAATAGGAAATCTCGGTGCTATACTGTTACCATTAAAGGGAAGCCTGGATTCCAGGCCGATCAAAACAATGGGTAGGGCTCTTGCCTGTCCAACGCTTAACAGTACACTTTGTGTTGGCACAGTGAGCTTTGCACATGAAGTTAGTTTAAAAAAAAAATCATAGCTAACTGATAAACCTTTGTTCCAGCCAATGACCTTGCTTACCCCGAGAAATGTTTATTAAATATTACTAAATTAAATGAAAACAGTTATGAGCTCTTATGATAAAGCATAGAGACAACCTAATTTCAAGTTAATTCACAGGAAGATAGTAGGACAATATATGGTTGTTTATGATCTTGTTTTTACACTGCTTCACATTTTACATATGTGGCTTTCAAAATCTTAAGACTTGACTGGGCACAGTGGCTCACACCTGTAATCCCAGCACTTTAGGAGGCCAAGGTGGGAGGATCACTTGAGCCCAGGAGTTTGCGACCAGCCTGGGCAACATGCCAAGACCCTGTCTCTACAAAAAATAATTAATTAAAAAAAAAAAAAAAAAGATGTGTTGTGTTGCTGGGCACAGTGGCATAGGCCTGTAGCCTCAGCTACTTGGGAGGCTGAGGCAGGAGGATTTCTTGAGCCCAAGAGTTTGAGGGTTCAGTGAGCAGTGATTGCACCACTGCAGTTTAACCTGGGCAGCAGAGCCAGACCCACTTTCTTTCTTTCTTTCTTTCTTTCTTTTTTTTTTTTTTGAGACAAAATCTCGTTCTTGTCCCCCAGGCTGGAGTGCAGTGGCACGATCTCAGCTCACTGAAACCACCTCCCAGGTTCAAGCGATTCTCTTGCCTCAGTCTTCCAAGTAGCTGGGATTACAGGCACGCACCACCACGCCCGGCTAATTTTCGTATTATTAGTAAAGACGGGGTTTCACCACGTTGGCCAGGCTGGTCTCGAACTCCTGACCTCAGGTGATACACCTGCCTCAGCCTCCCAAAGTGCTGGGATTACAGGCGTGAGCCACCGTGCCCGGCCCACGGTATTTAAAAAAAAAAAAAAAAAAAATTAAGGTCTTAAGACTTTTTTTTTTTCCTTTTTTGTTTTTTTTTCATTTTAGTGACAGGGTCTCACTGTGTTGCCCAAGCTGGTCTTGAACTCCTGGACTTAAGCAATCCTCCTGCCTTGGCCTCCCCAAAGTGCTGGGATTACAGTCATGAGCCACCACGCCTAGCCAAGACATTTTGTTTTTTGTTTTTTGGTTTTTTTTCAAAGAAAAATATTAACAACATAATTACTTTATAGCTAGACAGATAAATTTACAGCAGCAGCTTATTCACGTGATGGACCACATCTGTAAATTAATTGATACTATTCCTGCTGATAAACTGAAACTTTTGGATTGTGGGAACGAACTGCTTCAGCAGCGGAACATAAGGTATCTTGATTTTCCTCCTGGAATATGTCCGATTATATTTTTACCACTCTTAAGTAAAAAAATGGACAAGGCAAAATGTTCAGGCTTTCTGACCTGGAAATGGCATAAAGATGCTCATCATGCAACTATTTTTTAAATTCATTTACTTTTCAAACTACTCCTTTACCATTCGTATTCATATTTTTAAGTTAGAAAAAAAGAATGTATTTTGCTACAATTTCTATTTGGTATGAAAACTAAAGATTTGCTTTTGTGGCCTACCAGAGTAAACTACTTATATTTAATACGTTGTTCTGTTTTCTCTCTTCAGAAGGAAACTTCTAACAGAAGTAGATTTTAATAAAAGTGATGCCAGTCTTCTTGGCTCCGTGTGGAGATGCAGGCCTGATTCACTTGATGGCCCTGTGGAGGGTGATTCCTGCTCTGCAGGGAATTCTATGAAGGAGTTAAATTTTTCACACCTTCCCTCAAATTCTGTTTCCCCTGGGGACTATTTACTGACCACCACCCTAGGAAAGACAGGATTCTCAGCCACCAGGGAGAATCTTTTTGAAAGGCCTTCATTCAATTCCCCTTTACAGAAGTCCTTTGTAAGTAGCAACTGGGCTGAAACACCAAGACTAGGAAAAAAAAATGAAAGTTCTTATTTCCCAGGAAATGTTCTCACAAGCACTGCTGTGAAAGATCAGAATAAACATACTGCTTCAATAAATGACTTAGAAAGAGAAACCCAGCCTTCGTATGATATTGATAATTTTGACATAGATGACTTTGATGATGATGATGACTGGGAAAACATAATGCATAATTTAGCAGCCAGCAAATCTTCCACAGCTGCCTATCAACCCATCAAGGAAGGTCGGCCAGTTAAATCAGTATCGGAAAGACTTTCTTCAGCCAAGACAAACTGTCTTCCAGTGGCATCTACTGCTCAAAATATAAACTTCTCGGAGTCAATTCAGAATTACACTGGTAAGTTTAAAATAAATTGAATGCTTATATGAAAACAAAACTGTCCCAAAATAGGAATTATATAAGAAGAACCATAGCAGATCATGATTGCCTGAAAACCACATTGTTGCTATGCAAATTTCTACTGATGATATGAATTACAAATCACAATTTCAAAAGCAAGTTGCTCTTTTGTCTCTATAGCAGCTGTAGTTTTATAAAATGTGTAATTATAACCTATTGTAGTAAGGCTCTAAAGTCATTACAAATGTGCTTTGCCTTTGAATTGACATTTTTTAGTTCCTAAAACAATAAACTCATGAGGGCCAAGTTTTTAATGATTTTGGGATGAGCAAAAGCAAAAATGAATTCGCATGCTAAAAATGTACTTTAGAATTTTGTACTGATGAGAATCAATTAATACAAAGTAGGGAAGCATGTTTTATGTCTTAAAATGTTAAAATATAGGGCAGTCTAAAAAGGATATGAAGTCAAAAGTGTCTTACATCAGTCAAACTACTTCTTTGGGCTTATGTGCTCACTACATGCCATGTGCTATGCTGGGCGCTGGTCATTTAAAGATGAATAACAAATACTAAGTAGTTCCTGCCCTCCTGGAGCTCACAGCTTAGTGAGAGAGAAGTTTTGAGAGGAATGAAATTAGCCACTGTTAAGGCTCCAGAGAAAAGCCAAAAATAATTTTAAAACCTTACATCAACTATATAAAGTTATCAAAAGTATTTGTTAGCTGAAAAAAGTTTATAAGGTACAGCCCTCCCTATTTTTGTCATTGATGACTTAATACCACGGAGGTTGTTCTTACAGTTACGCTGCTGACCTTTAAAACAACCATTAATGGATTTATTTTTGTATCATGTTAGAATGTGTCATACTTGATATTTGCAATTATCTTGAGACAGTTGAGTGTTGGGGTTAGCGTAACTGCCAGAGCTGAGTGAGTACCTCTTGTTCTCTGTGCTGAACCAGAGTTACGACAGCCAGGCTGCAGAGCAGGGGCGCGTGTGAGAGATGTTATGAAAGTAGAGCCTGAGGAAGCTCAGATGACTCCAAGGTTTCAGACGCTGATGACTGGGAAAACTGTGACAACAGTAACACAAACAGGGGAGTCAGGAGGCAGAGTCAGATTTGGAGAAAGGCTGAGAAGGGCTATTTTAAGACTAGAGGTTAAAGTGCTGGTAAGTCATTCAGGTACCAATGCCTTGCAGACAACGGGAGCTGTGCGCAGGACTGGAACTTAGGAGGGTGTCATTTGGGTCTTAAGAGAGGTGTAGACATTTGCTGCACACAGGTCATGTGACTAAGATCATAGGACTAGGAAAGCTCCAAAAAAGAATGTCTACAGAGCCCAGTCCCAAATATCTGAAAGACTCCCCTGTTTATGGGGCAGATGGAGGAAGTAGAACCAGGAAAGGGAATTTAAAGTGAGTAGAAAACCATGATTGTCTTGATGATCGTGGTTGGAGGAAGGGAGAAGAGGAAGGAAGGAATAAAAGTAGTGGTAGGTGCTGTAGAAAAAGTGAAGGAAATACTTGATTTGGGCCTTTGGCAAGTCTTTGGTGGCTTTGAGACTTGCAGGGAAGGAAAGCCGGTGAACAGTTTAGGAACTGTGCTGCAGGGAAACGTGTGCCAGTGATTCTGCAGGCCAAGGGAAATGCTAAAGCTGTACTTTCACTGTATTCATGCACTGATTTTTCTTAATGTTGATTATTTTCCTAGACAAGTCAGCACAAAATTTAGCATCCAGAAATCTGAAACATGAACGTTTCCAAAGTCTTAGTTTTCCTCATACAAAGGAAATGATGAAGATTTTTCATAAAAAATTTGGCCTGCATAATTTTAGAACTAATCAGCTAGAGGCGATCAATGCTGCACTGCTTGGTGAAGACTGTTTTATCCTGATGCCGACTGGTATGTATTTTTAGAAGAGAATTGGCAGGAATCCATTGGCAGATGTTAAATGAAAGCTCTTTAATAGAAATAAAAAGACCACCTACACACTATTTCTATCATTTAGGGACCTCTTAAACCTCCCATACTGTAGTAAGAAAGTATATTACTTTATATCCTCTGGTCTGGTTGTTGACATGATGAAGTTTATAGCCCTGTAAAATTTTCTTTTTTTTTTTTTTGGGTGGAGGGGAGATGGAGTCTGGCTCTGTCGCCCAGGCTGGAGTGCAGTGGCGCGATCTCTGCTCACTGCAAGCTCCGCCTCCTGGCTTCACGCCATTCTCCTGCCTCAGCCTCCAGAGTAGCTGGGACTATAGGCGTGCGCCACCACGCCCAGCTAATTTTTTGTATTTTTAGTAGAGACGGGGTTTCACCGTGTTAGCCAGGGTGGTCTCGATCTCCTGACCTCGTGATCCGCCCGCCTCGGTCTCCCAAAGTGCTGGGATTACAGGCATGAGCCACTGCACCCAGCCTCCTGTAAGATTTTCAACTTGAAGCTCATTGTGTTGAACTAATCTAGAATTTTTCATTGGGAATTTTTCTTTGTTTTAGTCTAAGCAATTTTGGAAATCAAACAGAAAAATCACTGTCAGAGACCATGACCATTTCTGGCAGTCTATTTGCAACAATCTAGTGTTGCATAGTGGTTAAATCATGTATGCATATGTGCATAGTGGTCCATCAGCTGTGGACCAAAGGCCTGAACTTAAAGAACAGCTCTGCTGCTCACAGCAGTGTGGCCACGTGCAAGGCGCTTTACTCCCTGGACCCGTTTTCTCATGTGTGCAATGGTGATAGCAGTGAAGTACCTGGTTCACAGAATGGCATGAGGATTAAATGAAAATCATTTAGCACAATATTGTGTTGGCCCCACTTTAAAGAGTCTAGGACATTCATTGTGCTGTTAAAGCTTATGATAGCTGTTCAATGATTTATAGTCACTCACATGAGAATATTAAATAAACAGGGCAGAGCACATGGAGAATTTGCAGTTTCAGTACCTACGTGTCTAGTCCTCCCTCTGTCTATCACTTGATTTGTGACCTTTAGCAAGTTAGCTAGTGCTGTCATTATTGTATAACGTTGACTGGGCATCTGAACTTTTTCAGCCTGGTTTTTAGATTTAGATAGCCTTGGCTTAATAATCAGCATTTCAATTTTTATTAATTTATTAATCACTCTGTGCCTTCCTTTCAACCCTATTTTGGTGTTCCAGAACTCTAAAGCTGGAAAAAACCTTGGCAATGATCTAATCCGTTGATTTTTTTTCAGGGCTTTCCATTGTCCTTTAGGGTTTCAAGAGGGCATTTTTAAGGTCCTTCTACCCCAATTTCAACCACTTGAGATATATACATATAAAAATATAATTGTGTATACTATGTATATTGTATTATAGATAATATGTCTATTGTATGTAATTATAATATAGGTATAGTGTGTGTGTATAAATATTCCAAGTAAGATTTATTTTATTTTTATTTATTATTTTTGAGATAGGGTCTCTTGGTCTGTCACCCATGCTGGAATACAGTGGTGCTGTCACAGCTCACGGCAGCTTCAACTGGGTTCAAACAATCCCCCCCACCTAAGCCTCCCAAGAAGCTGGGACTATAGGCATGTGCCACCACACCTGGCTAATTTTTAAATTTGTTGTAGAGACGAGATCTCACTGTGTTGCCAAAGCTGATCTCAAATTCCCTGGGCTCAAGCAGTCCACCTGCCTGAGGCTCCCAAAGTTATGGGATTTATAAATAATAAAAATAAATAAACATTATATAGAAAGTAATTATTTTAATCCTAGTGTCATTTTTAGAGACTCTTCTACTACTAGAAATAAAAAGTTTACTGTATTCCATTACATTTTAAATGTCCTGCCCTAATTCTTGCCTTTGCTATTATATATGTCTGTGTAAGATGTCCTAGGCACAGTGGCTCTTGCCTGTAATCCCAGCACTTTGGGAGTCCGAGGAAGGTGGATTACCTGAGGTCAGGAGTTCAAGACCAGCCTGGCCAACATGGTGAAACCCATCTCTACTGAAAATACAAAAACTAGCAGGGTGTGGTGGTGGGCGCTTATAGTCCTAGCTACTGGGGAGGGTGAGACATGACAATTGCTTGAACCTGGGAGGTGGAAGTTGTAGTGAGCTCAGGTGGCACCACTGCACTCCAGTCTGGGCAACAGAACGAGACTCTGTCTCAAAAAAAAAAAAACTTTTTTTTTAAAAATCATTTTTAAATTGCCTAAATGTAATAGTTGGAGTCATTTGAGTGTGGCAAATTGTTGACACCAGGGACAATATGCCTTGGTGTCCTATTAAAGATATGATTTCTTTTTTTTTTTTTTTTTTTTTTTTGAGACAGAGTCTCGCTCTGTCGCCCAGGCTGGAGTGTTGTAACTTTTACATTCATGCTCTCAAGATAGAACCTGACAGATATTTTTTCATTGTTTCTCTTTCAGGAGGTGGTAAGAGTTTGTGTTACCAGCTCCCCGCGTGTGTTTCTCCTGGGGTCACTATTGTCATTTCTCCCTTGAGATCACTAATAGTAGATCAAGTCCAAAAGCTGACTTCCTTGGATGTAAGTTATAAAAATAGTAATAAAAACATGCCTTAGAAACAATTAAATTTCAGTCCTCTGGATAACCTTTTTATTAAATAGTTCATAATTTGTAAAAATAAAGCACAGCAATTAAATTAAGTTGTGCAGTTAAACAGAAGTCTGAAAATTTGATACAGATAACCTGTAGTTCAATCTCATTTTATTCTACAAGAATGTATTTTAGTAAGAACTTTTAACCAATGCTATTTTTTGCTGATGTAATTTTTTTTAACTAATAGAAAATCATTTCTTTTTTCAGTACTGCCAGGTCAGCGTAGTTCTCTTTCCCTTATATCTTAAAATGCATACACACATGCATGCCTGCACACATACGTCTTTTTTCCTCATGGCTGAGTTTAAGGAAGTAAATGAATGCATTCTACCTAACTCTTCACAATGTTGGTGCGGGTGGTGGCTCACGCCTGTAATCCCAGTGACTTGGAAGGCTAAGGTGGGAGGATTGCTTGAGGCCAAGAATTCAAGATCAGCCTGGGCAACACAGCAAGACTTTTTCTACAGAAAAATAAAATAAGCTGGACATGGTGGTGAACACCTGTGGTCCCAGCTACTTAGGAAGCTGAGGGTCACTTGAGCCCAGGAGTTTGAGGCTGCAGTGAGTCATGATCATGCCACTACAATCTAGCCTTGGTGAAAGCAAGACCCCAACTCAGTCTTCACATTGTGATTAAAAAGAACTGTTTTAGGAGTTAAAGTAACCACTCCTCGATAAGACCACTAGTTTGGTTTGCTTCCAAAGAATGTCTTAGTGCAGTGATGGTAGCCATTATTCAACCATTTGTGATATTATGGCCCCTTCCTTGTCATTAATCTTTAAAACCCTGAAATACATTTATCTAAAAAAAAAAAAAAAATGACACCATACAGTAGGACTGGAATATCTTGTATACCAAATTCATATTTATCTTATTTACAAAGATGAAAAATAAAGCAAGAAAAGGAAATAAACAATGAGAAGACCATTTTGTGTTATGCTTTTTTTTTTTTTTTGAAGACAGAGTCTTGTTTTGTCGTCCAGGCTGGAGTGCAGTGGTGCAACCTTGGCTCACTGCAACCTCTGCCTCCCAAGCTCAAGCAATTTTCCTGCCTCAGCCTCCTGAGTAGCTGGGATTACAGGCACCCAGCACCACGCCAGGCTAATTTTTGTATTTTCAGTAGAGATGGGGTTTCACCGTGTTGGCCACGCTACTCTCGAACTCCTGACCCCAAGTGATTCACCTGCCTCAGCCTCCCAAAGTGCGGAAATTACAGGTGTGAGCCACCACGCCCTGCCTGAGTTACACTTAATAAGGGTTCTTAAAAAATATATGTATGTATGTACTTACATACTTGTTATATTGAGATATGTATTTCCTTTGATAGGTTTGATATGTGACTAATAAAGTATTTATAAAACCTAAAGACAAATGTAATTTTGTCAGGTTAATGTATAAAATTGAAATTGTTTACTACTTTTATACTTAGATTCCAGCTACATATCTGACAGGTGATAAGACTGACTCAGAAGCTACAAATATTTACCTCCAGTTATCAAAAAAAGACCCAATCATAAAACTTCTGTATGTCACTCCAGAAAAGGTTTGTATTTATATCATTATTTTAAAATATATTAAAGACCACTAGAATACATATATTTTTAAAATTTTAACAAAATTTTTTATATGTAGTACAAAGAATTTTTGTATAACTTTCATCCAGAAACCCCAAATGGTAGCATTTTACTATAATTGCTTTGTTATTCTCTCTCTGCATATATTTTCCTGAAACATTTGATTGAAAATTGCAGACATGGTATCCTTTTAAACCCTAAGTACTTCACTGTGCATTTCCTAAAAACAAAGTATTCTCTTATATAACCTCAGTATAATGATCAAAATTAGGAGATGTATATTGATGCAGTACTATTACTTAATCTGTAAACCTTATTCCGGTTTCACTAGTTGTCCCAATAATGTCCTTTATAGCAAAAGAAAATCCCAGATCTTGCATGCATTCAGTTGTCCTTCTCTGTAATCTTGTAAACAGTTTCTCTCTCTTAATGTCTTTAATGATTTTGACATTTTTGAAGGCCAGTCGTTTTGAGAACTATCCCTCAATTTGAGTTTATCTTGCTTCCTCCTGCTTAGATTCCTGTTACTCCTTGAATATCACAGAAACGGTGATATGTTCTCATGCCCACTGTCAGAAAGCACTTGATGTCGATTCGTCCCATTACTGACAATGTTAGTTAACTGATCGCTTGGTTATGGTAGTGTCTGATAGACTTCTCTGCTACAAAGTTATCCTTTCTTTTCGGCCTTTGTAATTAGTAGATATCCTGTTGTGGGATGCTTTGAGACTATGTAAATACCCTGTTAGTGATCAGAATTTTACCCACAATTTTAGCATCCATTGATGATTCTTCCTCAAATCAATTATTACTATAATAGATATAAAATTATTTTTTAAATGTAGTTGGCGTTTTGCTGTAAAAAGAGTTTTCCCGTTGAGTACACTTTTTTTTTTTTTTTTTTTTTTTTTTGAGGTGGAGTCTCACTGTGTCACCCAGGCTGGAGTGCAGTGGCGCAATCTCAGCTTACTGCAACCTGGGTTCAAGCAATTCTCCTGCCTCTGCCTCCCAAGTAGCTAGGACTACAGGTGCGTGCCACGACACCTGGCTAATTTTTGTAGTTTTAGTAGAGATGGGGTTTTGCCATGTTGGCCAGGCTGGTCTGGAACTCCTGACCTTAAGTAATCCACCCGCCTCGGCCTCCCAAGTACTAGGATTACAAGCGTGAGCCACTGTGCCCAGCCCACATATTTATTGATACAGCATGAACTCATGACTTCTTAATTTATTCAATGAGTTACAATCAATTATCAAGTATTTTGATGTTCTAATTGTCCTAGATGTGACCAGTGAGACATCTCTATCAAGCTGGCTTCTCTGTCCTTTTGACATGTCCGTCAAGATGTGAGTGCTACATGTGCTCGTTGCTACTGAGATGTCCTTGCTTCTAGGCCCTGTTATGAAGAGAGCTATAAAATATATAATTTCTTCCCCAGCCAATATGCATCCATATAACCCAGATATGGAACCGTGTTGCCAGTGTAAATGTGTGATGGCCCTCAGATGTCTTGAAGCAGACAAAAGTTTTAGAACCACTAACCTGCTAAATAAGCTGTTTGCTTAATGTTGGTGAACATTCTAAAATGTGATCTGCTATTTTCTGTTACTTCTGCTGTTCTCCTCATAGATTGAAATAAGAACCCATTTTATATGGAGGTGTTTTTTTTGTTTGTTTTGTTTTTTCTTGAGACCGAGTTTTGCTGCTGTTGCCCAGGCTGGAGTGCAGTGGCGTGATCTCGGCTCACTGCAACCTCTACCTCCCGGGTTCAAGCAATTCTCCTGCCTCAGCCTTCCTGAGTAGCTGAGATTACAGGCATGCACCACCACGCTCGGCTAATTTTGTATTTTTAGTAGAGACGGGGTTTCCCCATGTTGGTCAGGCTGGTCACAAACTCGCGACCTCAGATGACCCGCCTGCCTCAGCCTCCCAAAGTGCTGGGATTACAGGCATGAGCCACCGCACCAGCCTTATATGGAGGTTTTAATACAGCTTAAGTTGTAATGGAATTCGAAGACAACAGAATCATAAGGTGATGTGTTTCAGTGTTTTTAAATGTCTAATATATTTCTGGCCTAGATCTGTGCAAGTAACAGACTCATTTCTACGCTGGAGAATCTCTATGAGAGGAAGCTCTTGGCACGTTTTGTTATTGATGAAGCACATTGTGTCAGTCAGGTAAATACTGTTTTTTATATCCGGAAATATCAATAAATACATACTACCAACAATATATGTATTTTCAATACTGAAGAAAAACCCACGTTGAGTGAACTAGTCTGCTATTTTACTGAAGAATAAGGTGGTTCTTAATATATTGAGCAGTGTTGGCTTTTTATAGAGGGAAGCTCCAAATAGTCTGAAAAGCAGTATTTTTTTTTTTTTCCCAACTAGTGGGGACATGATTTTCGTCAAGATTACAAAAGAATGAATATGCTTCGCCAGAAGTTTCCTTCTGTTCCGGTGATGGCTCTTACGGCCACAGCTAATCCCAGGGTACAGAAGGACATCCTCACTCAGCTGAAGATTCTCAGACCTCAGGTGTAAGTTGTTGCACGTCATCTATTTGAGAACCCTGGGGCAGTGATTGCCAGAGCTGCTACACGTTAGAATTACCTGTGGCGCTTTAACACCACCACCCCACCCCACCCCCATGCCCAAGTTGTACCCGATGGCAGCTAAATCAGAATGTTTGGGGCTGAGAGCCAGTAGTTTTTTAAAAATCCCCAAGTGATTACAATGTGCAGCGGAGTTTGGGAACCAGAGTCCTAGGGCTTTTCTTCACTTACTAAAATTAAAACTCCATTTCAGTACCTACTTTGGAAGTAGGGATAAATTGCATACCATACCTATCATCCCTGGTATAGTCCCAGCAATAAATAAATTTTTACTTATCTAATTTTGGCGTCCATATATCCTAGAGTATATTTCGTGAAGTGAAAGATGACCCTGCTTTGTCATTTCCCCCTAAGGTCCCAATTGAATCCACGATGTTGAAAATGGTCCAGATACTATGTCGAATAGTTTTTTTACTTTGTTTTCTTCTCAACAACAAATTGCTGCTTGTTGCCACCACATCCATAGCTCTTCAGTAACAAAACCTATAAAAGAAATCCCCGCATATGTATCTAGGCTGTACTGGATTATTTTATACTTCTACCTGAGTTTGTAGAGATATGGATTTTTGGTAGGTTTATTCACTCAGCAAATATTTATTTAACAACCGTTGTGTGCCAGGGTTAAAGTATTTTTTTCTTCTAGTTTGTTAGTGTGCGCTTGAGTTTGAGATGTAAACATTAACATGGTATGCCTGAAGGAGTAATGACGGAACCGGATACTGGGGTGAATTTTTGAAGCACAGCTTTTGTTCATTTGAAAATAAAGGGCCGGGCGCGGTGGCTCAAGCCTGTAATCCCAGCACTTTGGGAGGCCGAGACGGGCGGGTCACGAGGTCAGGAGATCGAGACCATCCTGGCTAACACGGTGAAACCCCGTCTCTACTAAAAAAAAAAAAAAAAATACAAAAAACTAGCCGGGTGAGGTGGCGGGCGCCTGTAGTCCCAGCTACTCGGGAGGCTGAGGCCGGAGAATGGCGCAAACCCGGGAGGCGGAGCTTGCAGCGAGCTGAGATCCGGCCACTGCACTCCAGCCTGGGCGACAGAGCGAGACTCTGTCTCAAAAAAAAAAAAGAAAAAAAAAAAAAAAGAAAAGAAAGACAAGCTGGTTCTGTAAATATTATAAGCAGTAAGAACAGCAACAGTATCTCTTAGAGGATTATGAGAAGAACTGAAGGTTCCTTATGAAGGATATGAATGGGTCATTGGAGTAAGATAGCTACAAAGGCTTTTGCAGGTTAAACTGGCAGCTTCTAAATTATCTGATCTAAATCAAGGAATTCCAACATTTTGGGTTTCTTCCAGCCTTTAAGTTGTTTGGTTCCGGCCTAGAATATTTTATTGCTAGTAGCACTGTTATATAGCACTAATGACCATACTCAAGTGCAAGGATTTTAGAGTCCTCAGAATTTTGCGTGTGTGATCACAAAGTTTGGAATGGAATATTTTAATTTAATCTCACTTGCAGAGGAGTATTTGTATAAAATTTGGGGGAAAATATTTTGCTTCTATAATTGATATGCATTATAATGCTATATTTAACGTGTCATATTAGGCTAGGCATAGTGGCTCACACCTGTAATCCCAGCACTTTGGGAAGCCAAGGCAGACGGATCACCTGCGGTCAGGAGTTCAAGACCAGCCTGGCCAGCGTGGCAATACCCCATCTTTACTAAAAATACAAAAATTAGCCAGGCCTGGTGGCATGCGCCTATAATACCTGCTACTCAGGAGGCTGAGGCAGGAGAATTGCTTAAACCCAGGAGGTGGAGGTTGCAGTGAGCCGAGATCACGCCACTGTACTCCAGCCTGGGCAACAGTGTGAGGCTCTGTCTCAAAAAAAAAAAAAAAAAAAAAAAAAACACACACACACAAAAATACAAAAATTTCAGCCAGGCCTGCGGTGGCTGCGCCTATAATACCTGCTACTCAGGAGGCTGAGGCAGGAGAATTGCTTAAACCCAGGAGGTGGAGGTTGCAGTGAGCCGAGATCACGCCACTGTACTCCATCCAGCCTGGGCAATGGTGAGGCTCTGTCTCAAAAAAAAAAAAAAAAAAAAATACACACACACACACAAAAAACAAAAAATTTATGTTATACTTTAGATTCTAATAAATAGCCTATTTGCAAGAACTTTGCTTCTATAAGTACTGCATTGATCCATAATTTTTTTTTTTTTTTTTTTTTTTTTTTTTTGAGACAGATCTTGCCATGTTGCCTTGTTACCCAGGCTGGTCTCGAACTCCTGGGCTTAAACAATCCTCCCGTCTCAGCCTTCCTAAGTGCTGGGGTTTTTCTGTCTGCTTATGCCAGATGCAATCTACTGTTCTTTTGGATCAGTTACATTAATGGCGAATGCCCATAGTTAAATGATAAAAAAATTTCTTTTCCTTTTGAATGACTTTTTGTAAGTATAGGATTTGTGATTTATGTTTGAGTAAACAGTGCACATATTTATTTATTTATTTAGGGGCAGGCACCTTGAATCTCTTTTCTTAGTACTGTGGAGAAGAGATCTGCCTGGGAAAGCAAGGTTGTGGATTTCCAGTCTCCAGCACTTGGTACATAATTGGTACTCAGTAATAATCAGTAAATGAAAAACATGGAGGAATTTGGGTAAATGTAAAAATTTAGGTATGTCTGTTGACTCCTTAATGTGTTTGGCCCTTCCCTGCATTTAGAAGTAGGAAATTTTAAGGAACACTTTCTGGGACTCTGTTTCCTGATCTCTTCTGCCAGTAGGCCCCTGGTTTGGATTAAATTTGCTCAACTGCTGCCATGTCGTGACCCTGGTGAAGTCAGGTATTCTTAAGGTTGAAGCCACAGCCCCTGTGCTGCTCTCCTCCTGCCAGTCTATAATAATATTCTTCCTCTTTGGGAAATACAAGGCACATAAGAAAGGCTATATTCCATTTCCTTAGGGCCTTCAAATATGAACTGGAAGAGAGCAAAGAGACAGGCATATAGAGTTAACTATAGTAGAACAATAATAATAGCTAACACTTACATATCCAGCCTACTCAGTGTGCCAGGCACTGTTGTCATTTTATGTGTATTAATCCCCTTGTCCACACAGAAGCAAGGTAGGTACTCCTGTTTTCCTCATTCTACAGGTGAGGAAATTGAGGCACAAAGAGACTACATAACTTCATATGCCTAGCAAGAGTTGGAGTGAGAACTTAAAACCCCAGAAAGCTGGTTTCAGAATCCTTTAAATACTAGGTCAAATTGCAGAAAGAAGAAAGCAGTGATTTGAGATGTAAATTACAACTACAGGAACTGAAGAAGACAAGATAAGCTAGAACCCCCAGTAACAGCTGTTATGAGGAGGGGTCAGATCAAATTTCATAAAGGAACTGGGCATTGTAGGAGGAGTAGTTTATTTAAAAGCGTAGGCTGGGCGTGGTGGCTCACGCCTGTAATCCCAGCACTTTGGGAGGCCGAGGTGGGTGGATCACCTGAGGTCAGGAATTCAAGACCAGCCTGACCAACAAGAAGAAACCCTGTCTCTACTAAAAATACAAAACTAGCCAGGCCTGGTGGTGCATGCCTGTAATCCCAGCTACTGGGGAGGCTGAGGCGGGAGAATTGCTTGAACCTGGGAGTTGGAGGTTGCAGTGAGCCGAGATTGTACCACTGCACCCCATCCTGGGCAACAAGAGTGAGACTCTGTCTAAAAAATAAATAAATAAATAAATAAAAGTGTGAACAGCAGCCTAGCGCAGTGGCTCACACCTGTGCACCTGTAATCCCAGCACTTTGGGAGTCCAAGGCAGACAGATCACCTGAGGTCAGGAGTTCAAGACCAGCCTGGCCAACATGTTGAAACCCCATCTCTACTAAAAATATAAAAATTAACCAGGTGTGGTGGTGGGCATCTGTAATGCCAGCTACTTGGGAGGCTGAGGCAGGAAAATTAGTTGTACCTGGGAGGTGGAGGTTGCAATGATCCAAGATCATGCTACTGCACTGCAGCCTGGGTGATAGAGCAAGACTCCATCTCAAAAACAAACAAACAACAACAAAAGCTTAAACAGCTGTATTGAGATACAGTTTACATATCATAAAATTCACCTAAAGTTGACACTTCAGTGGCCTTTTTTTTAGTTTGTTTATAGGGTTGTGCAGCCATCACCATTATCTAATTTTAGAACATGTTTGTCTCCATTGAAAGGGAGAGCACACCCAGTAGCAGTCAATTCCTACTTTCTCACTCCTCCATTCCTAGGCAACCCCTCATCTACTTTCTGTCTCCGTAGATTTGCACCTATTCTGTACATTTCATATAAATGGAATTAAATGGAATCACATAACATGTGACCTTTTGTGACTGACTTATTTCACTGAGCATGTTTTTAAGGTTCCTCCATGTTGTAGCCTGTTCCAGTATTTCATTCCTTTCAATTTTCAAATAATACTCCATTTTATGGATCCTACTCTCTGTTTTATTTACCCATTCATCATTTGATGGATGTTCAAGCTGTTTCAATTTTTTGGTTTTTTTGAATAATGCTGCTGTGAACATTTGTGTAGAAGTTGTTCTGTGGTCATAAGTTTTATTTCTCTTGGGTTGCTGGGTCTGTGGTAACTGTACGATTAACCTTTTCAAGGACTGCTAAACTATTTTTCAAAGTGCCTCCATCTTTTTTTTTTTTTTTTTTTTGAAACGGAGTCTCACTCTGTCACCCAGGCTGGAGTACAGTGACACAATCTTGGCTCACTGCAACCTCCACCTCCTGGGTTCAAGCGATTCTCCTGCCTTAGCCTCCCGAGTAGCTGGGAGTACAGGCACGTGCCACCACACCTGGCTAATTTTGTATTTTTAGTAGAGACGGGGTTCTACCTTGTTGGCCAGGCTGTTCTCAAACTTCTGACCTCAGGTGATCCACCTGTCTCGACCTCCCAAAATGCTGGGATTACAGGTGTG